TTTTAGCCCCAGAAGTCACAATTCTTGATGGATTTAGATGAAACTTAGTGTGAGTGTTTGTAATCTTCTAAGGATGAACCCTTTTGAAAATCAGCAAAATCGTAAAATATTTAGTATCAGTTCTTGTTCTTGAAAATGCGTGAAAATTCAGTATCGCCTCAAAAGTGTATGACTGAAGATTGAATATTCCATACTGGTAATTGTTACTGTATTGCCAAATATTTTTATTTAAAATCAAAGCTGCCAGTGGGCGTATATTATCTTGCCTGGCAAGCTATCTTAGCATACCTTTTAGTCCTTCTTCATTTCACTTCCAATCAACAAAGACATTTGTTTATTTGTGAAGTTTGACAATTTGATATAGTTGAAATAGTTTCATGGTTAATTAATAAGATTCACAGTTTACTTTTTTGGTTCAATTTAACAAGCAACTTTTGATCCTCTGTATATAAATATTCATAATTTTATTTTACGAACAATTCTTATTAAATATTTATCGATTTTTCTGATTTTTAATAGGGTTTATCCTCGGGTGATTATAAACAATTCCACCAAGTTTCTTTAAAATCTCACGAGAAGATAGATTGCATGGACTTTGAATAAAAAATATTTGGCAGTAAAGTAACAGTCGCCAGTATAAAATATTCAACCTTCTTTTGAACTTTTTACGGGTGATATTGAATAATATTAATTAGTTTTGTCAAAATCCGACAAGAATACTGTTTGTGTTGACGAGCTTAAAATTGAAGCGTTTTCAAGAACAAGGACAATAAATCATACTCAATATTTTTCGAATTTTCTGATTTTCGTTACGGTTCATCCTTGGGACAAACACTCATGCCAAGTTTCGCTAAAATCCGTAAAGAATTGCGCCGTTAAGAGTGTTTACGAGCATTAGAAGTAGGGCAATAACGTCTTAGACGTCTTCAACTGAAATGCAGGGTTGTAACAGTCTGCGGCTTTCCCTTTGGTGCCTGTGGTGTATCGAGAACTGGGCATACTCGTCTCCAGTGGGTAAAGGCTCCACAGGGGTAACATGCTCCACTTCTTCCTGCTCATGAAAGAATTTTGATCCGAAAACGACCTTGAAAGAGCATCATTGGTGGTGAAGTGCTTGACTGTCTCCAACCCACATTCAGACGAATCGGCCAACTTAATCAGCTTATTCCTCGCCGAAATACGGTCCAATTCTTCAGAGCACAAGGAGGAAGCATAATCCAGTATCCGATTTTCAATAGCCCATTTGATCTGCTTGACATTTTCTGAAATCTCTGAATTAAATTGAAACTGTATTTGATGACCCTTCTTATTCCATGTATAATCTTGAGCTTTTCTCAATTTCTCTGTTTTTTACCGATATATCTTCCTTCAAATCATCCAGCTCCCTCTCAAATTTATTCGCCAATCGCTTATTATTTTCATCCAACCTGTTCATAAGATTGTCGATCTTCTGGTTGATTAAATCAGTCAAAGACAGTTGATTATTGTTTGTGGAGTTTTCCAAATCAGACATGACGACTATTAATCGTGTTTTTCCTGTGCCTGTCTATGCTTGGATGATTACTTCTTATTCGATAACTCTTTTTCCAATGAAAAGCACTGGCTATATAATCAAGCCCAGCTTACACAATTTGGTCTGATTTGAGAAAGAAAATATTTGTCTCTTAATTCATGAAACAGAGGAAAATATATTTATTAACTGATGAATGAATTTGTTCTGAACAAACGAACGAACATTTGAAACATAAAACGAATAGAATGATTTCTTTTCATCAATCCATTTATCATCTATTCATGTTTTTGATTTCAAAGATATAATTATTATATCGATAATTCTAATATAAGTTATCAAAGATGAATTATTTTGTATAAGATATATAGTAAATGATAAGAAATCAAGTATTGAACCCTGTCAAGACGATAGTATTTGTTTTGCTTTGTATTGATTTAGTGACACCGGATGCAGAGACATAAATTGCAAATTGATCAGACAAGATAACCCTCAGTTTTACTTTTACATCTGAATCTGCCCTGAAGGTCACAACGACATCCACTGAACAATACTAATTACAAAACATCCTGGTCCATTGGAAGCAGATCTAAAGGCTACACAAATAAAACAAATGATGTAACTTATTGTGTAATCTGTAAAATAGATCGGAGTGTTTGCGGACTATAATTTATTGATATGCAATGTAAAAGTTTCTGGATGTTAGAGACTATCCTATAACCATGCCTGCTTTTCAGAACAGTTGTTGATTGAACATGTATTGTGTAATATAGTGTCTATATTTCCTCTTGTTATTTCATACTTATGTGGTATACCAACTTCCACACTTATGTTGAACTATTTTTAATGCCCTAAGCACTCATGAGAACATATAACCCATATAACCTTCGGAACTCAAATTCATTGAAGCTAATATTCTGTAACACCAATGCCCTCAGTAGTACCAGCTTGGAATGACCTGCCACAAGATTTATCAAATACTTTTAAAACGAAATTGAAATCATTATTCAGTACAACTCCTGCTGGCCACTATTGTCATGGCGACCGGAAACTTGAAATCATTCACTGTAAGCTACGAAACGGGAAGAGCGATCTAAAATTTCATAAATTCCTAACGGATGATCCTACCTGTACATGTGTCCGAACCATTTAAAATTGCGAGCATTACCTCCTATATTGCACTAACTTTCTTTACAACGAGACCTAATAATTAATCTACTTCCTGCCCATCACAAGAACATAAACCACAGAATAATAAAAAGTGGTATTCATCTTCAATTTTATTTAAGTTACATAATTGGCATATTGGACTTTCTCTTGGAATGTGACTGTAACGTCCTGTTTCTATTACCAAGTTATGAGAAACACATCTAATTCTAGACAAAGCTGTTTGATAACATATTTTTATATTTGAAGATAAATATTGTTTAAAGGAAAACGAAGTGTAAAACAGATTATAATAGTTTTATTTACTGTATGGATAACGGTCCATATTCCACTTTTGGACGAATTGGTCATTTAAACGGAGCATCGTAATGAGGTACTGAGATATCTTGTTCAGACCAAAGATTGCTGAAACCTAAATTGTCCACGAGTTGTTTAACGTTATCTTTTATAACACTGTTTGGGATCGTTTTCAATTTCCTTATACAATTGTAAACTATATACTGGAGGCTATGTTTATTTCAAATTAATCCAGTATTTAAGATTACTTTATGGTGGTAAACCAACTGTGTTGTTCTTGCAAGTTCTCCATATATTGTCGGTGTACATGATGATTGTTTTCTACCTAATACTCTCTTACAATATCTGGAGAACTATGCTATAGCACGTGCCTGGGTAGATGTAGTTGTTTGTGAACTGTATTTTAAGTTTGTTAATAGTCTCAAGCTTGTCAATACGTCTAATAATAACGCAAAATTATTGAAAAACGTCCTTCCAATTATCCAGCCTTGTAAAATTGACTGTATTTTCTTGCAGTTACCACCGACTTTGATTATTGATTAAATGATTGGACTCGCATAATGGTTTAATTTTATAATTCGTTGAACGGATATACCTGTACAGTCCGTTGTTGGGATGTATTCGGAGACAACGAAAAGACCAGGAAAGTCTGTTTCATGCATAAATAAATATATAATTTTTTTTTTATTATATATTAATAATAATAATGTAATGTAAATCATGAAACATTTAAAACACAGACACACAACATATCGGTATATATTTATATTTTTTATATTTATGGCCTTATAAAGTTTATATAAAGTTTATAAAGTAAAAGATATTTATATTGTAAACATCGATGTGGTTCATGACTTGTGATTGACATTGACAAATTAACCAGACAGGTATCAATAACGCAAAAACCATTCATCAAAAAATCATCAAAAATTCGAACTTGACCAAGATCTCATAATGATAAATATCACACCAAATTTCATTTAAATCCGATGAAAACTGTAGTCTCTGTTCACAAAACAAATTTCAACGCGTTTTTCCTAAATCAAGGGCAATCCCCGAAATCAAAAACCGTTCATCATGTTAAATATTCATTTTTGATTCCAGCCCACTTTAAGATGTTTGGTCAAAACAGAAATGCTCTATCATTTTCTGGTTGTTCTAGAAAGTTCAGTACCTTTGCTTAGACAATGTTGGTCTTAGATAAGCTCCGTTGACTCTTTTAGAAGCAATTCAGAGTAACTTGGAGTATTATTTTGGTATGTTTGTACAACAGAAGTGTAAAAAAGATATTATATATTATATCGTCTTGAGGATTGCTTCCGTTTGGCTAGCCCTTACCCATCGAATAGATCAACTTCGGAGAGTCACTCCACTTGTTGGCGATAACGAGCGTACATTTGCTCACAAAAAAGACCAAGGATATTACAAATGTTTTGAGATATTGATACCGCTGCATTGAGAAGTCAATGGTCAAAAGATATTGTTTCTGTTTGAGATAACTAGTTTTGATAATAATAGCCTTTCAGACAAGTTCATTACCTTTGCTTAGACAAAGTTGGCCTTAGATAAGACCTGTTGACTCTTTTAGGAGCAATTCAGAGTATTATTTGGTATGTTTGTACAACAGAAGTGTATTAAATATATTTTATATTATATTGTCTTGAGGATTGCTTCCGTTTGGCTAGCCCTTACCCATCGAATAGATCAACATGGGAGAGTCACTCCACTCTACCAATTGTTGGCGATAATGAGCTCACAACAAAGACCAATGATATTACAAATGTTTTGAGATATTGATACCGCTGCATTGAGAAGTCAATGGTCAAAATCGTTAATTAACATACTGAAGAGTAAGGGACTGAGCATGCATCCTAAGCCAATATTGTAGCTGAAACAATTCGTTAACAAGATGTTAAAACACGTGAATTTCATGTTTTCAATTATATGCAAAAAATTTATTTGCCACTTAAATATGCTTCAAGCGGAAATCCTTTTGTTTACACCGATGTGTATTTGGGACCTGTGACTAATTGATTATTGACTTATCGATTATACACTGAAAGGAAACGAATCCAACGACTTCAATAATCAAATAAACATGTTTTTTAATTGTTGTTAAAACTCGTTACAACAGAGTTATTGTGAATTATAAAAAACCACAGTGTCAGGACTTCCTGTGGAGTTACCTACGAGCAGAGTATTTTCCTGTGTAAATATATTACATTGATAATAACCTGACACCAATTTAACACTGAAGATATGACACATTGGTAACACATAACATTTCATAGCACATTGACCATATCCGTGTACACTATACGTCATATCCGGCTTGATTGATAATTCAGCATTTTCTAATCGAACGTATGCCGACTTGATACTGGCAAGTTGTGTCCCAAATACTCGAACCTAAAATATGAACAAGTTCTAGTTTAAATTATAATGGCGGAAATGATTATTATTGGTCTTTCTAAGCGTATTTTTGGAAAGTTAGTTGCATGCAAACACTATTAAAGGTCCACTAAGTTAAAACAAATATCCAATCAAATTTGGACAATATGGATTTATTGAATTTACAAACTGTAAAATTTAGTTTAACATCATACTTTTCTACTGCTGGTGTGGCTATTGGAAATGATAATTTGATCTAAATTTCTAACTGTACAAGGGGTACTCGACTTCACACCATATAGCATTGTCCCTAACGAACAAATATTTTCCTGAAAGTAGGCCAGCTAATCTCATATCTGAACGGATGTCGGATTTCCATTTTGGGAATTTATCTCGAAATTGAGCTGCTAAAGCAATTATTGAAACTACCATATATTTTTAAACTTACCTCACACAATACTAGAAACTCTCTAGTGCCCGGTTGACCATTAATAGTAATTCTTACATAGCGACCTTTTATTATCTGTTTACAATTATACATTACAATCTTTCCCTTGGCTCCTTTACCCACATGATAGTAACAAAGTTCGGCATCAGAAATAGACTCTCCTTCTTTATAGATCATAATAGAAAAATCGTGAGCCAACGGTTGTCCTGCTGAAAGATAAAGAATGAAAGAGGTTTACAGACACATGTCTATTAATATAATCTCCACTGTATAACTGTATCCGTTCAATGAAACATTGCAAATTTCAAACTCGTGCAAGATCTCATCCATTCAAATAATAATTAACCTAAAACTATGAAATCTTAAGCTTCTTGCGTGCTTAAAAAAAAACTATTTTTAATTGTCTTTGACTCATTGAAATTTAAAAATTCTTAAATTGTCCTCATTAATACAAATAATGTTTACAAAGTTTTATCTGATTCAGACGCGAAACTACAAAACAATCTTTACGTTTTTATAGATTAAAAATATTTCGGATTTGTTTGTAAATGTTTGGAAGTGAATAGGGTAAAAAAAATAAGTAATATTTACCGTTCGCGGTATGAGTTACGGCCACAGAGTAAATGGAGTAGTCTTGCATGATATCTACTTGCCACCAAGGTGTAGCTGTGTTTGATTCGGTAGTCGAACAACTGGATCCACTGGCCATTAATCCATCTATACCATCAATCGCTCTGGATGCTACATTTGCTCGATAAGTGCTAATTTGGGTAGCTGATTTATTAACAGCCACATTTACTAAACCACAGACTGGAAGGTAAACAAAAAGGTAAAAAGGGGAATTGTCTACTATCATGTGACAAGTTTTTGGTCGAGAAACCATTTGGCTTTAATGTCACCACTATGGTAATAAATAGTCAAAAGTTTTGAAAAATTATCTGTTTTAGAAGGTTGTGAAGCGGAAGTAGAAGTCAGACATCAAAAATGAAAGTACCAGTACATTGTCAAGGTCAGCAACCTTTGACCTTGTTAAGGGGAAGGTCATTTAAGGTCAAGGTCACTAGATATCAGTCATTAAATTTTGGAAATACAAATGATATAAAACCGGAAGTTGAAGTTGAACATCAATTATGAAGGTATTAATCTTTAGCCAAGGTCAATGACCTTCGATCCTGCAAAGATCATCACAGGTAAAGGTCAAAAGTTGAAAATATGTAAACTTTAAACCCTGTTCCTTTTTTTGAGCTACGAAGCTGAAACAACTGACCTTTTTACGCAAACTGGCCAAGAGGGTGAGGTAATTGTGTGCAAGGTCCTGTTTTAAACAAATGTATTCTATGCAAGTTATTCCCCTGATAAAAATGTAAATAATAAGTAATTTTACTCTAATGTGCCACGCCACCTCAACTTTTTTGCCATACGTTAATTCATATTTAAAATGTCTCGTTATGTTCTGAATTCCAAGCTTCTACACTAAATAGGTCATAAGATATACATACATCCATCTCAAGAAGCGAAAGTTTTGTTAAAAAGTCAGGAATTTCAATTTTGCATTAAAATAAACTATTGTTATATATAGAAAGAGCACGATGATCACATTTAGAATCCACAAAAAATAACCCTCTGAGCTAATTAGGTCACGAGCTAGAGCAGTCCAAAATTGCGAATTTGGCTGTTTTTGGACAGTTATAATACCGGAAGTAGACGTCAGAGGTATGAAAGCATGAACTGATAGCCAAGTCAATGACCTTTGACCCACCAAAGGTCAAGGTCATCAAAAGTCAAGGTCATAAATTGAATATATTGAATTTCCAAAATCTGTTCCTTTTTTTAATTATCAAGCTGAAACAACCGAACTTCTAAGACAAAGTGGCTCAAAGGATGGGGTAATTGTATGCAAAGTTTCATTTTGAACAAATGTATTCTTTGCAAGTTGTGCCCCTGACAGAAAATGTCAATAATAAGTAATTTAACCCGGATGTGCCACGCCCATCTTATTTATTTATCATAAGTTAATTGATATTATAAATGTCATGATGTGTTCCAAATTTAAAGCTTCTATATCAAACAGGTCAAAAGATATAGGTCAAAGTTACGACTTTTGCAGTTTTCGGACAGCTATAAAACCGGAAATACAAGTCGGAGGTATGTCAAAGTATAATCTGATAGCCAATGTCAATGACCTTTGATCTCATAAAGGTCAATGTCATCAAAGGTCAAGGTCACGAGATAAAATTGCAAAACTTAATAAAAACTTCAACCGGAAGTAAAAAGCAAAATCGAAATTCAAAAATCGGCTTCCTATTTTTTGTTAGGAATTGTTTACAGATTACATACACATTAAAATCATACACGTGCAATTCTTCATAGTGGCCCCATTTTTCGTTTTATAAACTTTTGTCTATTCAATATGGCGGCCAAATAATCACTTCCAGTCTGTAGAATTGTATTTGCTAAAGATTAGCTAAACTTTGTTGACCTTCAAAAATTACACCGGAAGTTATTCAACCGAAAGTAGATTTGAAATTCAGTCGCTTTCCTGTTTAAAGGCAGAAATGAAGTACAAAAGTTGACTGCACCATATTATTTACATTAGTGAAGTCTCTTTACATTTAAATCTATAAAATTGGTTCTGTAACAATAAATTGAAAAATTACAGCGACGAATTTTCGAATTTCGTTATTTTTCAAGCCATCAAGTCAGAAATTACAGGTAGATTGTAAAAATGAAAACCCGGTGAAAATCGACCCAAAAATGCGACTTCTAAAGCCGAATTTTGTACATGATGAACTGGGGCACTTCCGGTTTTGCAAAAATGTTCCAATTTATATTCATTAACAACGTTGCCACTGCAGAAGGTCTACACTTGAAAAGACAATTGACAATATGATAACAATATGATAACAAACTGAGACTTTGCGGAAGCAAAGTACCACAATAAAGGAGCACCAGATATATGGATATAGTACGTCTAATATTTATTTACCCAACATTAGACTGTATTTTTCTTTAGATACGCTCCTGTATTTGCATGGGGAACATTGAATGAATAAATGTTTGTCTGAAGATTATGTGTGGTATAGTAAACATGGGGAATCAAGGAAAAACAAAAGAAGAGAAGTTAAGTATTAAAAGATGCTTAAAACATACACCATTCATTCCATGATCATTTATAAAGTATCCAATGTACAGCTTTATAAATTTAATCTCTTTGAAATGAGAGCATTTTTTGAACTTTAAAAAATTCAATGCCCAAAGTAATTACTGTCATTTCACTAGCCATTTATGACAAATGTTTAATGTGACCACAATTTTCAGCTCAAACCTAAAAACGCTTTATCAAGGAATGTTGAATAGTTTTAAAATGTGTAAAATGTCGAGAGACCATCCCAGTCTCCGGTTTGTAATCCAATGAACGGGAGCACTTTAGCCTGAAATGACACTCATCCCTTTTTAAGAGTCTGCATGGCTAATTTTATTTGTTGGTTATATTTATTACACATAGATTAGCCAATAATCCAGCTCGGGACAAGTTCCATGTCCAGAGTTTGATTGAATTGGATATTAAGAAGATCATGTCTTGTTCCCAGTTGGAATTCTTACTTAGTCGATTGGACCTTGGTCTAACGGATTGAAACGTAACAATATAATTCTGTAAAACATGATGCCACAACCAGTTAGGTTTGTCAACTCGGAGATGATGATGCTAAAAAGCTGCACGACTGCTTAACGTGATCAATCAACAGAATAATGTACTTACTGCATCGATCTAGCAACAGGTACACCAAATACAAGCACTTCCACTTGAACATCTTATCTTTACACTGCGTACTGATAGAATAAAAGATTATAGATACTTGCCACAGAATAAACAGTGCTTGCCAGGCAATGTAACTTAGGTTAGCAAAGTTCAATATAAAAGTAATATTGTTTTTTTATCAAGATGTTAACAAGTCAAAGTTTCTGTCAAATGAAAAGTGTAATTTCCTGATATGCAATAGCTCCGTCACATCGGAAATGCGTCCGGCGACGGAAAATTTGCTCAAAGCGTGTTTAGGTTGCCATTAGCGTGTAGGAAGCATCGGATATCGTAAGGTGAACCCTAAAAGTTCTTAAGACAAGCGTTGTAACCATCTCCATAAACGCAATAAAGTAAAATTCATCCACCCCATAGATTTTAATAGAAAAATCTTGAACATGGTTGTATTAAAAGGTTTATAGTCGACACTATGCTCTAAAAAAATAATCTTAATATTTCTTCATATAATATATGCTCAACAATGCGTTTATTAAACGATAATAACATCAGCAGGTCCGTAGTTCTAATACCTTTACATTTTTCACTTATGATTGGTATACTTAATCGTGTGAAAAGTTAATTTGCTACTACCAATGTAATGCCAATAATGTTGTTTTGTCTCTTGGATTTTAAATTTCATTTTGCGGTTCGTATCGTAAGTACTTGCTATGTTTATTCTACCCATCCATGTTCGTTATTTCAATGCATATTCGAGTACGGTGCATCTGCATTTACAATAATATTAGCCTATTAGGAGACATCTCCTCTAAAAAGATTATGTTCAAACAATTTTCAAATGAAATTGTACATAATTGAAATCAGAAAACAAAAATATCAACCCTATTCTGAGTGTTCCATCAGGGCTATAGGTAAGCAATCAAAACCACACATCAGAAACAACTTTATGTAAGCAAGTACGACAATTCAATAATTGGCAATTGATCAAAGCTTTTCAAATATTAACAAAAATGAAGACAACAAAAGTTGAAGTCTTTTATTCAAAAATCTAGTATAAATCATGTTAATTAATATTAGATCTGTAAAGCAACGCAATTTTATTCAAAAATGAAACACCATTTGTCTACTCTAGTGTTCGAATCACTTGTCTTTTCTTTTTGCACTCAGCAATTTGCCTCCTTTCACATGTAGTTAAATCGTTAACATGTATCACTAACTTGCCCATAACTTGTTACCCTGCAAATAAGTTCTTTTAAATTGAAACACAAATATATCATAGTGTAGCTTATGGTGTGCCTACTGCATTTCAAACATCCAAAAGCGAGCTGAGATTGTCGTCCAAAGAGAGACCTTCAATGGAATTTTTGACATTAGAAGGAATTGCCCCAAAGGATATAATCAATGTGTATTGGAAGGATGATATTGAACTATCAAACGTTGGTCAGCCCTTTGAGGCAAACGCTATGCTGATAATAATGAACTGAAAGCTGGAATGTGTTTTTAGGATGACCTCAGAGGAGATCTTTCTGTCTGCAACTGGGAAACTTAGAGTTCTATATGAGAAATTGTTTTTTTTAAGAGAGGGTAATTATGTAAAAAATAAACTAGAAAAGATGTCATAGCTATTTGTTTTATCTATTGGGGCTAAAACTTTTTGACCAACCCTCGTAATTGAATTTTGAGACATTCACAGCTCTGACGATACTGTGATGGTTAATGGCCTATCCGCCATATGGAACAACACTCACCAGCCAGTCGGTAAAATCTATAGGCACAGAAAACATTTCAGACAATTTGTTATAATAATAATAATAATGACTTTATTTGGCAAACCATTTAGACAAAAGTCTAATTTTCAATAGGTCCCACTAAAATAAAATTATATACAAGATTACAGAAAGAATAAAACCACAAAAAATAACATAAAACATATATACATTTACAATGTAACATGGATGAGGGAAAAGATATGAAAATGTTACCAATATGTTTCCCCACGAAACCACGAATTATATTCTAAGTATATAATAAAAATACAGAAAATTTCATAAAACATATATACATTTACAATGCATCACGGATGTGGTGAAAAATATTAAAATGTAAACACTGTGTTTCTTATATGA